CAAGTTGAAGAGAAACTTTCTACCTTCTCTAATACCAAGCAAAATTGGCAGAAACTTATGAATAAAAAAAAATATGAAAATAACTCATTAGCAACAGTGAAATGTAGGGACTAAGATAACTATACTGGCTTTCAGAATGGAGGAGGAGCTGCAATCGGAGGACAGACTACGAACCTCACACCACGACCTGCTTTTGCAAACTGCACAGCTCCTCTGCAGACATGAGAATTGATGCTTTCTTGACCCTAGTCAGTAAAGAAACAGTGATTGAAGATCACCTTTTCTAATTACTCCAATTCTTCTATTTACACTTGTCACGTACTCTTGCTGTGTTGCTGGTGCTTCCCTGTAAGCCTCTCATTGCCCCGAGCTTCCTGTGACACAACTGAACAAGCAGATACAAGAGGGGCTGTACTGGTTTGCTAGCATTTATTTTGCCATATCACAAACTGCCCAAGCATACCCACTCCCAGGTGGTTTTTAGGTTTTTTTCCTTTAGCAGAAGGTTGTTCACAACTAATTTCAACTATTTGTACCCTTGGAAAAATCTTCAGCGTTTCTCTAATCTCTGAGCTCACTTTTGTGAGGCATTTTGGAGCTTTTAGGACTTTGTAGTGGTGAAAGGCTATTCCAGTTCCTGACTGTTTCACGTGGCCTGCCTCCCCCTTTTAAGTGTGCTTGAAAAGGAGAACGGATCACAACTTTAAACAGCATCAGCGCAACAGAACTCTGTGACAGAGAAGAGGAAACTGTTTCAAGAGGCCATCTGGTCTCTAGACAGAAACCCATCACAGACGCCAGAGGAGATGCATGTGGACACATACAGACCTGCCTGCTCAGAACTGGAAGCCATGCTATCTTAAGAGAGGGACCTGAGAGAGCTCCTCGCTTAAAGACAGATGTAATACCAGCTGACAAGCTTGTCAGCATCTGGCCTCCTTGGGAGGCAGCATCTCCCAATTCTAAAATTTCACTCTATTTTAGGAAATAAAGAATACAGGTTGGTACCATAACCTTGAAAGTGTTGCCATTCCCTGATCTAGATTCTGTCCCCCAAGGCAGGATCAGTTGTCCCTAAGCCACTCTGTTCACACCATTGTCCAGTTTGTGGGAGAACGAAAGCAGCACAGCTCCTGGGCTACCAAGTGAAGCTGGCAGAGGCATGCCTTTCTCTTCTGCCTTTTTATTTACTTTAGGGTGGGATGGGCCACACATCTCCCAGCCCGTAGGACATCCTGCTGCTCTTCCTCCTTGCTTTGCTTTGCTAGTTTTGCTGGCTCCCTCATCGTCGGGCCATCTTAATCGTGGATGTCTGGTACTTGCTGCTCCTTATAAGCTGTTGCTGTTTCCCACAAAGATGTTAACACTGTTAGCGTGGCTGGCCTCCCCATCACTCGGGGGTCCGGTTTCCTCTGCCTTTGGTGTTGCCTGCATGCTGGAGCGCTGCCAGGATCGCTTATGGAGTGGAACTACAGATTCCTTCCCGAGGCAAACCCCAGGAGTGCTTTTGTGGTCAGATTGTTCCTGGGTTCACTCCAACAGGCAGCAAGACCACGCAAGATTTCTCACACCCTCCATCAAGCATCATCATACAGCACTATCCCGTCAGCCAGGCATCTTCGCACGCGCCTCTGCCCGCAAAGCGGTGTAATACAAGTAAAATACAAGATATAGTGAGGATGCTTTCTCCTCGTATTTAAGGACTACAGGTAATACAATTACAGCTTTTAAAAAGCTATGTAACCCCACGGACTAGAGCATGATGACAACATTCCTTGAGCTGTTCTAGAGCCACGTCAGTCAGAGTTGCAGGAACCTACCTCACAGCTCTCCGTAGGGATCTTCCTACTGAGGAACTGAAGCACAGCCTGCTCTATATGGGACGAGCCATAAAGTAGGGTGGTGGTGGGTCCATGGATCCCAATCTGACCCTGGGAACAGGGAAATGACTCACAAAGTACAATCGTAGCCCATAGTACCAGCCTTTAAACTGTTTCGGGTCCTTCATCCTCATAGGGAACAGTGACCAGAGGTAGCAATTAAGGGGTAACATGCAAGAACTCCAATTTTCAGAGAGGAAGCCATACAAAACAAGCAACCAGTTATACCCGCCTCTGAAACAAAGCAACAACAACAAAAAAATCCCACCCAAAACAGGTATGCTGAATGAGCTGCTACTCAAGCACAGAGCAGCGCTTCCTTTTCACTCCCTTAAGCTCAGCTTCATCACAAAAATATCCTCTCATCACTTAGGAAGTTTCCGCCCTGCATCAGCTTTTCTGTATTCAAATGATGCTGATGATTAGATAAATGAATGAGATAGAACCACTATCCAACAAGCTGAAACAAAAATTTCCAGAAAAGACCACCTGTTCTTCAACAGATCAGTATAGGCTTTTGGATCTCTGCTCTGATTTCACCTGCTTCACTCAGAAGGAGAATATTCTGGAGTATGTGCATAAGCTGCGATTATATCTAAGTGGACCAATTGTGAAATATTCTTCCCATTTTCCATACAGGCATGACTGATCATTCAGGGCTAAGGTCTGTTGTTTCTATCCTAAGATTGTACCGTGAGACTACCCCATTTAGACATGGAATTATGTATGGAGCCATTATTTGCATTTCAGGAAACATTTACAATATCTCAATATACCTCCAGATTTCTGTGAAACAATCTCAAACACCTGATTGTAAACAAACTTATCATATGTCCAATAAGATTAGTAATTTGAACTTACATCTAATATTCAAGCAGGCAATCCAAGTCTATGTCGACAAAGAGACACAGAACATCGATAGTC